CGGAGCTCGTGCACGCCGGCTCCTACCTTCCGTCTGTCCCGACTTCGCCGCCTCTATCCAAGATTTGTTTCAGCATATTCTTGTGTATCCACATATGCACTCCATAGCAATACACACGTGAAAGCGACGTACGTGCAGGCGCGCTCGAGCCCAGCGCGGTGCGCACCGCGAGCGAGCCACGAGGGTAGCATTGTTAGGCTCGGGCCATCCCTGGTCAGCGCCTGTGTGGGCTGCAGTGAACCTGTTCCGCGGCTGGCGTGGTCCCGGATTGCAAAGTCTTTGGGAAGTTTTAATTCCTACATTCACAAAATTGGTAAGATGGTCCAATATCTTTAATCCTGTCGTCAGAAAGAATTGCAAAAATAAGCTAGGAAGACTTTAGAACGAACAGGACCTCCCCTTATCAATCTGGCAAGGACACTACGGATTTGTGTAAGAAGTAGGTTATCATTTGGTCAGAAGTTCTAGAGTTAACCGGACACGCTATCCGGGTTAAGAAAGTCTCAGAGATTAGCATACTTTGATAGATTTCATGATGTCCCTAATGACCTTTCTCTGCTAGGAGTTTGGGAAGAAGCCCTGCTAACCAAAACTGCTTCCTCCCATTCTCATTGGACATGGGTACCTGAACATCATTGGCAAAAGAGCGTCCTAGAAATGCTGGGATTGTCATCCAGTTCATCAACCTGCTTTCATAGTTGGTCTCTAAGCTGGAATTTAGAAATAGGTGGTGCTTGAATAGGTCTAGAAGGTACACCTGTCAAATAAACACTATTTAAATCTTTCCAACTCCAACTCCAGCTATCTGCTCAAATGTCACTTTCCAAAAGGATCTTCCTGAGCCCCCAATCTGCATTAGGTCCTCTCTGTACCTTTCTCCATAACACACGGTTATTTGCTGTGGTATTCTAATACTGTGTTTGCTTTACTACTTATAGACTCATGAGAGGATTCTGTTTCCCATGGCATTCCCAGACAGCCAACCAATACATAGTCAATGAAAAAGTACCACGGGTAAAACGGCTGGTCTCACTGGAAAGCAGAGCACTTTCAAAGTTTTAGTGTTTTGTTTTTAAATAACAATGCCAGTGGCTCTGTCACTTAGGTACTGTAGTCTTTCTTAATGTATATTAATTAAAACGACATGTTAATTGGATCGTGTTATACTTAGGTTAATACCTCAGGGCTGTGGAGTAAAGGATCTTATAAAGCAGGTCTCCAAAGACCTGAAAGCAGCCATGGAATGCTCTCTCTGTCCTTAGATACAAATACACATATAAAACAGAAGAGGTATATACACCTGAGGTAATGGTTTTGAAGCATAGAAAATGCTTCTTCTTTACACTTCCTCATGCACGATGTCTCTAGTTGGCTCAAGGCATCTCTGCACGTGGAGGGCATTAGCATTATCCCAAGACTATATAGAACAAAAGTTAAGATGCAGCTTTGACACTCCAAATAGGAAACTTTTCATTTGTAGCAAGACAGTTGAATAAGGGGTGGATTTGTTGTTGGGTTTTTTTGAAGAGGTTTTTGCTATAGGGCGCCTGCGCTCGCCAGACAGAGATAGAAAGCGAGAAATCACACACACACACACCCCCCCGCGGGGGGATGGCCACACCGCAATCCCTTCTCCTCCATTCTCCTCTCAGGATCTTGGCACAGGCACACACGCACCTGGCGTGAGTTTAAGCCACCGGGTCCGGGACTCGAACCACTGTCGACTACGTGGGAGTCCAGCGACATAGGCATTATGCTAACTGCTGGTCCCCCAAGGAGTGGCTTTGTTAAGAGAGACTCTCTTAAAGTATTTAGAAATAGGTCTGATGTTGACTACTGAATTTCACCACCATCTGTTGGGGACGAAGGGAAGAGAAGAAACACTAGGTGTGTAATTAGGGGTTGGACATAGTTCCCAAATATTTGACATTCAGAGCACTCAGAAATAGTTGACGAATTAATGAATAAGCGTCATCACAATCTTTTCCTGCAGGATCAATAACATCAAATGAAAATAATCTAAAAATCCAGCAATAGAAGCTATTAATTGAAAAGGAATGTAAGTCTAAAGACAAGCGCTTTGGGACTACAATCTACATGTAGCTCACATCCCAGAATTGATGTAAAATGACAAAAATATATGACTACTGGGCATTTGAAGCTAATACAGATGAATGTAAAATATATGTGAGTAGTCTTCACCAAAGTCGCTCTCCAAAAGAAAAGGTTTATAAACGTATTACTGATCAGTGAAATTCAACTAACGTAAAGTGAGTTTAAGTGTGAGATTTTCAAAGATGACACGGAAAAGCACATTTCAAATGTTTTGCACCAAAATAAACTTACACTTTAATTTTATTTTTCCACAAACATTTTGAAGTCCCTCATAAATATGACCGTACACTGTTTTCACAGATACAGGACTCTTTCCTGGCCACTCATTATGTAAAACAGGTAACAGAGTGACTTGGATTGAAGGGTAGGAGGGGCGTTCTTCACATTCTAATCCTACAGTGACAGTTCTGTGACATCTCTGAGAAACCTCAGGGCTCAGTATCACCCACTTTGAAAGTCATCAATCCAAAAAGGAAAAGAAGTGAAGATTTGTCCGTGTTTAATATTATGCAATATTACAAAAAGTACAGTTGCGCACTCTAAGGTACCACGAGCAGCTCATTACTAGTAATAAAGTATGCATTGTTGTAAGTGACTGGGTAAATTGAAGGTACCCTGTCACAACATCTTTTTTGTTCATTTGCTTTAGAAATACTGCCTGATCTAAGGGAGAGAAAGGATGGAATTAACCCGTGAATGAGACATTGTCCTGGAGAAGGTGTGCCTAGAAAGTGTTACCTCTTCCATGCCCTACAGCTGCCCACACCTAGGAAAAAACAAAAAGGTTAAAAACTATTATTTAATCAAGGAGATACTGAAGTGAGCAATCAGTCACACAAAGGGAGAATTTCTCAGGGAATCAATAAAATCTTTTCTAGAACTTTCTTTGACTATGTTCCACACCTTTCTGATTTCTGATTAGATCTTTCTATAGTCCTGGGTATTAGATATTTTGGATAGAAATGTGGTTTCTGCCTGTCTTCTCTAACATTAAATTAGCATTCTGGTTATAAGTTACTATATAATGAGCTTATTAGCTTTGTTTCCAATCATCCTCTGGATGATTACAACATGTTTTACAGCTAGGAAGTTGTGATCAAACTCTAATAGCATTTGCCATTCTCTGATGCTGCCACTCTACTAGCTTAGCCTGTATTTTCATTAAAAAAAAAAAAGTAGTATAAAATAAGTCTATTTGCGCTGAAGCCATAGTTCCCCCATTGCCTAAGTAGCTATGTTTGACAATACAGTGGCCAAGAAGCTAAGCCAGCAGTGCTCACCAGGCCTTCCTTCTGTACCTGCGGGCTTCAGTACCCAGGCTCCAAGCATTTTTCAGTGCTCCATACTTGGGTTCCTGAGGTGTAATTTCCTGCTTCTGTCCATGAGGGGACAGTCTATATTAGAAGTAGGTCCTCCCACACCCAGGCTAATAAGCTTCAGGACGTTTAAAGGAAAGTACGACTCTGTCTTTTCAAGGGCAGCTCATCAAGATGAAAAAGGGGTGTTTGAATATGTTTGTGTGTTTTTCCCATCAAAATTGGGATCCTAGCCTTTTCCATGTCTCTCTTCTCTAGCATGACATAGTAGAAAGTACACAGGCTTTAAAGAACTTGAGTTCCATTTCCAACTCACTGAGAGATCTTGAAGTGAGTTCACCTTTTTGAACCTTGGTTTTTATTTTCCAAAGCACTTTTGTGTTCCCAGAAGGCATGTGTGCTCACTGGAGAGAGAGAGAGAGAGAGAGAGAGAGAGAGAAAGTACCCCACTGTGGGATATGGTCACACTGCAGTTCCCTCTGTCTCCCCCTTTTCAGGATTTTGGGCACATGCACACACACCTGGCATGTTTCTCACCCTGCCCAGTCAGGGACCCGAATTGTAACAGCCCAGTTGAAGGTTTGCAGGACTGCAGCTATTTGGGAATGAAGAAAGGCCTCTAATGAGAACAATCTGACCAAATGCTGAGTCATAAGGCGATCTATTTGAGGCATGGTCAGATGAGAAACCAAGAATGGGTATTGAAGGAACCAGGGTAATTACTAAAGGGAAACAGGAATGATTGGCACAGTGAGGAATGGTTGGCACAGTGCTTGTGTCTTGTACCTATTAATACTGAGAACACGGTAAGCTTCTGGAGGAAGTTTGATGGTACTAGCTGTCTCCCTGTAGCTGGTTACAGAATAAACTCTCTTCTTCAGCCTCTGTCTCTTGTTTCATTGACCACAAGATAAAGCAGTCGGACTTAGTCTTGCTGGGAACAGAACCACGTGATCAGCCATGTGGGCTCTAGCTGCCTTACACATCGTGCCACGGGCTGGCCCGAGGAGCACAGATTTTTGACATCAGATTGCTTGGATTGAAATCCTCACTCCAGTATTCTCCAGCTTTTGGTAAATTATTTACCAATGTGAGTCTCATTTTTCTCATCTGTAAAGTGGGAATAATGCTATTATCTTATTTCACAGTCATTGTGAGGATTAAATGAGAAGAGTGCATACATGATTGTTAGAATGGTGCCTGATTAGAATAACTGCTCAGTATTAATAGCTGCTGTTATTATTCTCTGTAAAATGGTAACCATGGATATTAAATAAGCTAAAGATTGTGAAATGCCTGACACAAAGGAGCTCCCCTTTTACCACGTCCTGGAGTCAGGCACACAGAAAATTAAGGGAGGACACAAGGATGCATGGGTGGTTCACAGAGGTGCAGTTCCAGCCCCTCTCTGCTGGTCCCAACTCAAGCCCCACGTCCATCTAGGTGACTGCTACGGTGGATCCTCTAGCTCCAGGCTCATTGCCGTTCTCTAGAAGAGAAGAAACTTCATTTTAGCCTGTGTTGATTCTTTCAGGATCTCTTGTCAAACTGCAGTTTCAGCAGCCACTACCCCAAGCATTGCCTCTGAAAAGTTACGTAACTTTTGGCAAGTAACAATCTCTCCCGGCATCTGTTCTGCCTCTGTGAGGGAGATTGACCAACTGCACTGGAAGGCCCTTGCTAGCACTGCAATTCCCTGAACTCCGGCGCTGCTCGGGCGTCTCTTCCTAGAAATCCTGTTGTCT